TTTTAAATAAAGATACTCATTTTTACTATACACACCAATAAATAACAAGATTTCTTGAAATTTCAATTATTTATTATAAAACTTGAACATTGCCGTACAATTGGATAAAAAAACATTTAAACCGTAGAACGCGCATAATTAATTTTACAGGAAAAAAAAGCAACTACACTTGCCTCTGATTACTCACTGCAGCATGAAATGTTTCTGTAAAAATAATTTATTTATAAAATATTCATAATGCGCTTATAATTTGTGTTTTAAAAGTTTATTTTCATACATAACATTATACAGCATCGTCCAAATTTTATATATAATAATAATTAAAACTTTAAGAAATCTTGTTATTTATTATTGTATATATTATAATAAAAAAAAGTACAATTATTAGTATTTTCATTTAAAAGAGAAAAAAAACAAATAACACTGCGAGAACTCGAATTCTCATCGGTCGGATAAGAAAAAGTATAATCATGCATCTTAGTTCGCTCAACTATAAATCGCTTTCTCGTTTACCGACGCATAGTCCCAATACTTGTACAGTTGATCAGACGTCCAACTTTAACTGCGATTTTCTCAGAATTAGAAGCTCATTCACCCAAACCCTTTTACAATGTTAGTACATGTAATCTACTGCCCTTTCGAATGAGTTATGGTTCATCCCATTTGGCACTTTACAATTCCTACCATCTCGTTAATTTTTACAAAGATAAATCATACTTTGATTTTTATACAAATTAAATATTAATTTGATTAAAAATAATGTATAATATGCAGTAAAACCTCGATTATTTGCCAAAGCATTATTTAAACCCCGATTATCCGACATCAATTTTTTACGTTTATAATAACTTAAAGTAATCTGAAAAAAAAAGTTGAAAGCACTTAATTCTCGTCATCCAACGAGAGTTAGCAGAAACCCCAGAATATAAAAATAAATTGTAAATGATATAACATTGACATTGTTTATTTCTCTATTTACCCGTTGTATATGTATACTCGTATATCACGAGTGAAGTCTGCATGGTGTGCAGTGTCGGCATTACACAACGTGCTGTGTCAATGATATTACATGTTTGTTCCGTAGATATAAATAAGTAAAGTCCGAAAATATTAATAATTAATATTATATAAATTAATATTATAAATTGGTTTTAGAAGTGGCAGCAGTAATTCAGAAAGATAAAAATTATGGAGCTCTAGGATTGTATGAAATACTGATAGAGCTATTAAAATTTTTAAATGCCAATGAAATAGCGAAGTTAACAATGATATTCAATCATATCGGTCAAGAGAAATTCTCTGAGGATGGCTTCAATCAGCATTCATGCCTCTATCAAAGAAATGTAAGCCGAGGACATGTGCTGATTTTTATCTAATCAGCTTAATGAGTCTGAAAATCTTATTAAAATACAAGGGAATCCGTTGTGAAAACGCGCCTCGCAATTCAGTTTTCAGAACGGTCTTAAAACAAAGGAAGCACTGTTCTGTATGAACGTATTGGTGCAACAAAAATGTAAGGAATATAAAAAATCAGTTTACATCTATTTTATTAATTTCGAAAAGGCTTTTGAGTGCAATACGAAGTTCTACTGTATGCATATAAATATATTTTTATATATTTTTAAATGTCCTTTTAGTTCATTTCGAACAGATTACGCTAATTTATTAAGAACTCAAGAAAACGAATTCTTTTCAAGTTCGAACGGATCAGTCGTGCTACCTGGAATGCTTTTTCCAAGTAGAAGAATCCCCGTAAATTCCTCCACGTACATGTCGAAACAACGTGCATTTCCGTATACAAAATTGGACCAAGTTATCCAGGACATCGTGCCAAGATCAATCCAACAGATCTAGCGTCGAGCATGAATTATTCGCCATCTGAACTTGACACTACGATTTGTCGCATACATTACGAATATCGCGCCTGCATCTGTCACGTTGACAGACAGCGATGGTTAACAGTGTATATTTGCGTAAATTGCCGTTGGCCACAAAATGATAGCCGTCCAATTCGAGCGTGCATATCAACGCTAAAATCTATTTCTAACCAAATGATGTACACAATGTATCCAATCTATATGTCAGGAAATGAGGATTAAACAAGCGCACCTATCAGTTGAGAAATTTTCCATTTAAAGAACACACTTCACAAAATTACTCTTATAATAATCAATAAAACTAAATCTTTCTTTTTAATTATAAGAATAAGGTCGGCAACACAGGACTCTGTAAATATTAAATAAAAATATAATTTACGTAAAAGAGTACTGCTTGACCTTTGCATGTTAAAATATTTTTAATATCGTGTAATCAATAATATATGAAGTCGATGAATGCGTACAAAAAATGTTTAAAATTGATTAGGCACAATAATGATTCTATAGGAACATTTTAGCCAAAATCTTCGTGTCAAGAATTATTCCATTTAAATAAACTTTAGCGCAAAGGTCGGTTTTTTCATGTGTGCTGGTCTACAAACGCTCTCATCCGTTCTTACTGATACGCGGCAGCTAGTAAATCGGATCGATGAACGGCATCGAGTAACTCAAGTGCTTCCTCTTCATCGCACTGACTTTTCAAGCTACTTTTAGAGCTGGGACTATTCTCGTAATACTATTTAGCAGCTTCGGCACGTAGCGTTCACGTCGATGCTGTAATAGCACGGCGCACACACGGAGTCGTGCTACGCATTCAAGATTTTTTTCACATTTACATAATTACGATGTGAAAAGGAGCACACGCTTGAGAAACGATGGCTTTTTATAATTACATCGTGAAGGGGATCGATTAATTACGTACCGGAAATCCAACAAAGTAATTATTTGAGAACAATTTAATCTCTTTATCTTGCAAATTATCGTACATAATATCTTCAATAACATTTTATCTTCACACACGTGACTTATGTTATGCAACGATTACATCAAAGTTGCACTTTTCACGTTATTAAAATACTGCTTACATTTTTCGACTTATGATGATAAATCATTAATTGCTTTGCAATGTAACTAAATAGTCCAAAAAAATAATACAACAATTTAATTAAATATTATTTGTATCTGATTTGTACAATCAGAAATACGTAACATGCGTTTAAATTAAACTAATTTTAGAAACATTAGTAACATTTAATGTATCACATGGTGTATATGTATGACAGTATTGAAAGAAAGACAAATCAATATTACAAACGAGAAAGAATTTATATTGCGGTTTGCGGTGCACTTCCGCTAAAAATCACAAATTCTAGAATTCCATTTCTTCAGGGATTCATCAGTGAAAAACGAAAATACGAGGAAATGAACTATTAATTAAAGCGATTTTCCGTCGAGGACAATAAACAATATTACGCGTTGTATATTTAACAAATATCGTCATTAGCATGCGGAAATACGTGGTCGTGATTCAAACATGCGAATAGTTCCTGCATGTTGTAGGGAAGTTCCGGCCTATGAGCAAGTGAACGAACGAACGAATGTAGGGAGAACAACGACGATTGTTTAGCGGCCTCGAGCGCGTAAGTGACGTGGGAACGATCGATTATCGAGCCGTTTGCCGCAACAAATATGCGTAATTCTGCGGTGTATCACGTGCATCGTCGTTATTGTTCGTATTCGCATGCGTGCCTCCAACGAGGCATTCGGCACAACAACAAAGTTTCTAAAACTGTTTAATCTGTTTCCTCTATAGATACGCGACAATATCGACGTGTACGAATGGCAAATTTTCACACTTTTTGAATGAGATTCACTTCAAAAAAGGAGAGATTTCTTTCCTTTGAAATGAATTTCACTCCAAAACACTGAAAATTTGCCACTCTTGTTAGAGTACAAATTTTTCACTTTTTTTTTAATAGTGGCATAGTATTTTAACTCTTTTGGAATAAGATTTCAGTCCAAAAAATTTAAAGAGTACAAGCTTAATTCGTTTCTTGAATCGCGCTTAAATATTGATAATTAAATTGATAATTAATTATTAATATAATCAAAATTGCACATTAACAATATATCAAAAATTCAAAATATTTTATACATCAAAAATTCAAAATATTTTATACATCAAAAATTCGGTAGATCCCAGATGTTTCGATATACGCACAGGCTTCAATGTATTTGGAGTTCGTAAGAATCCAAACTTGTACATCACACTATGCTCCAATAATGATGTGCTAGCTAGAATATCAAATTTTAGTACGGTGTAGTCAGCGAGAGCTTTCTGACAAGTAAGCATCTGCTCGATCAAAGAAATTTAGTTTCGACGTTCGAAGATAAGCGAGATGTATCCTATTAGGAAACGAGGGCAACCGACCGGTTTAAAAGCATGCCAGTGTCGAGTAAATCGACCCTAGAAAGACGGATAAGTTTTTGAATTATGTAGAGAGAGTAAATTTGAATTTGACTTTTGAGCAAACCTCTGATAGAGAAGTTCACAGAGAATCAGTGATTGACCGGAGAAGAAGTTTTCATTCGCCCATTCTCTTCGGTTTTAAATCATCGGTATGCAAGAAAATAATCACCGGTGTGTTATTTTCATTTGTTAAAATAAATATAATTACTATAATTATAACATAGTTCTAATTATTAAATATAAGCGATTAGATTTCAGTATAGTGACGAATTTCATTTTCAATGTCTTATACAAAAATCAAGCTTTACAACGATCGTCTCATCTTCATTTATTAGACAAAAAATGTAAAAATTATTTTTTACATTTTCCGGCTGTGTATTAATAAAATTTGCAGCGTACTGAAACTGAACGTAAACCTCATAAATAATCACATGGAACAGATACGTTGTCAACACAATATTTAATCAAGCTTATCGTTTAATTTAATCCTCAGACTAACTATTTTATATATAACCGAAAATGTCCGAAAACAGATATTTTCACTTTTTGCTCGCGGAATATAACCGAGTTTACTGGTAGCAGCTCCGGTGATATATGTATGTATTTCAAGAAATGGGATAAGTATATAATACAAGGTGATAAATTAAACTCACTCTCATCGGTCTGCGGCGCGGAGAGAATGGCGCTGTGCTTTTTCTTCACATCTTCCACGTTTGTCTGGATCCTGTCTATCATTTCGCGGATCTCCTCCACCTATGGAAAAACACACGTCCAAGTCAGCAGTTGGCTTAAACATTGTCAAATTTATTTGTGTTTCGCAAAATCGATATTATCAATAAATTTTTGCGTATTTATTAATCAAGTTCTTCTGAAAGAATGATATAAAGTTTAAAAATCTTAACACAGTTGACGTCATGTTACGCTAAATTGACATTTTGTTAAAACATATCTCTCAAAATTGAGCTTAAGCAACTTTGGGTAAAAATTAAAATATAAGATCTAAATATCTCTTTAAGAATTTTTAATGTTACAATCTTTAAAAGTAATTTATTATTGATTCCTAATGTCTCTGATTATTGTACGTACAATATATAATAACACATAAATTAAGAAATTATTATTCAAAAACACATTTCCGAAATTAATATTTCATTAATTTCGATAATTATAAAAATATTATCTTTAATCAAAACCATTAACTCGTTAAAAGATTAATGAGTAAATAAGCATCCAATTGCATTGCTGATAAAAGTGGACAATTTAAATAGACATGATCAATACTACATCGAAACTACTCTACTTAAGTAGTATAAGAACGAGTGGTGCTCGTAGTGCAAGTAGTACAAACCGTGTTTAGTCAGACGACCGCGTACATTGCTCTTAAGTCCACATATAATTTTTAAGACTTTAAAAAATATGAAAAGGTATAAAAATTCACAAAAAATTTAGAATATTTGTATCTAAATATTAAAAAATATGATTAAAGTGCCCTTTAATATAAATTAGAAATCCTGTTTAATATAAATTAAAGGTTTCGTTAATGATAAAGTCTGCAATGACCACGAATAATTTTGTGAAAACAAAAGTAAGAAAAGATATATGTACCGTCTCTTTTTATATATGCTATCTCATTCCAATTTATACTATCTTACTCATTCTAACTTACTGAATTTGACAAAAATGATAGGTCAATTAAAAATTTGTCATCTCTTGAATCTATTATATAAGGTTATAGTATTAAAATCTCTAATATAAGTGATATAAATCAATAAATATATCGACACTAATTCCCACAATTATTTTGACAACAATTAAACTAAATTACTTATATAAAAGTGCTGCAATAAAGGATGACATGTAACCTTAAAGTAAATAAATATCGTTCCATTTTTATCGATGTATCTATATAAATCTAACTAGTATAAATCCAACTTAAAAAAATTTTTTAGTATTAAATTAACGCATTAAATTAAGCTCGGTTTGTACCCGTTTATACCACTTTTCTTTTCATTTGTACTTCAAGTGGTTCAAAATTATAAAGAGTTGAAAAAAATGCCAGCATTTTGAGATATTTTAAATCTGCAAACGGATGCTGTTTCGGGATCGTTTGTATCCGTTTATACGACCACCGGTTTCATTTGTACTCTTAAAGTGATTGTGCCGAATTTTCAATACAAGAGAGTCAGAGCTAATTTCGCTATTTTCTAAGATATTTTAATTTTGTACTGTTTCGAGTGCTGTTTCGCCATGGCTTGAGCGACGTGTTTGTCAGACAATTTTCACTCCGCGCATTGAGCAATCGATGGATATATATTTGACACTTGACAATAGTAGACCGGGCAAATGCGTTTATTTGGTTATTTAAAAAAATTAATATCTCGTTAACTATTACGAAATAGTAGAAGACTTTTCGACTCAGTTCTCACTGATACTTTCGACTCTACCTACTCACGAGAAGTGATCCCGTAGGTCTGGGACACCATGTATACGTATACATGTATACATTATGTATATATACATATATACACATATTATATACAGAATGTCTCGAATTTAAATGGCCAAACTTCAGAAGCGTGTAGAGAATTATCGCATGTGAATTACAAATGCGACCCAAAAGTAAAATCCACGTTTGGAAAAAATATGTGTGCAATACATTTACTCTTGTTTCTCAAGCAGGTGTATTTATGCGAGTAGAAACATTTTACCATAGAACAAGGAAAAGCTTGCAAGACGCGATCGATAAAATACGAAAGCCTCGTTTAAAGATTCTGCCGTGGAATTTTTACAAAATGCTGTTTCGCCAGAGTTATAGAATTTTATACGGAGTGCTCCGTTACCTTATATATTTATACCTATACATATAAAAAGAAGCGAAAGGAGGAACTGTGCATTATCCTCGTTAAGACCGATATAATCTTGCTGATACTGGTTTAACCTACTTCTATTTTTTTTTTACTGTATTCTTTTATACTTTCGATCACATCGTCGAAAATGAATACGTAAAAGCAATAAATTAGTTAGTCACTTACCTCCGCGAAAAATTCCGTCATGAAGTCATCCGGCGCCCCGACGTTGACGGACACATCGTCCGCCACATCGTCATCGTCCGACTGGGCCTATACAAGAAACACAATCATTTATTAGAAACAGCATACTACAGTAATTTCTAGTCTTAAAAATACTTTTTTGTAACTAATATAACAACAGATTAATAAACAACAATTTAAAAACCTCATTTAATTATATTAAATCATATATTTAAGTAATGTAATTCTAGTTTATTAAAATAATAATCTAATTCCGTATCTCTATCTTATACTTGTTTATATACTTGTTTATATAACTTAAAATTTTTTGCATATAATTGCAGAGTAATGGCTGAGATTTTCAGATATTATGCAAGAAGAGAGTTAATTAAACAATAAGAATCTTATTGGACCGTACATGTGAATACAACCAATAGAAAATAAAGCCCATAACGGTCGAAATTAGATCTTAATGCTTAAATAATTCGATGTGACTTTATAAACTACACATCGAATCCTGTCAAATTGCGCGCTGAATTGATTTTTTTAGTGTAAAAAAAATACATAATTGCTTTAAAAAGAATATGTAAGCAAAATAGATAATTTTTTAAATAAGCAACTATGCGTTTCTTTATACCAATTGATTCATCTCATTAGCCTGCTTATAAAAGTAATATTAAAGTATATAATGGTAAGTATTAAGGTACGATTATAAACAAATTAACAGTATACAAGATATTTAATATTTCATGTCAATGCCATACTAAAGTATAAAATATCTCGTAAACTATGGATGTATCTCCTTAATTTTTATATGCAGAGTAATTAGAGGAATCATATTATGTAAAAAAAATTACATAATTCTATTTAAAAAAATAAAGATCGCCTTAAAATCTTAGAAGCACGTACACTTAAAGAGGATCTGTGATCATCAAAAGATGTCCCTCTATAAACAAAGTAAGTTCCACTTGAAATATTTTTTTGGAATAACGAATAATTCGAAAGATAAATGCATTCGAAGATTCAACTGGGACACTTTATGTGTGCATGAGAGTTAGTGAGCTCTATCATAACTGGAACTTTTCCTATACTAAATTATAGAAAACTGCAGCCCGATAGAGAAAAGGAAAAGCAATATTGATCTTTTTGACTCTTTTCTACTTATAGTAACAGCATTAACCAATCAGCGAATCCCTGACAAAGAAAACAGTATCAACTTTACATTAGAGTGTCCTTGTTTAGAAATTGAGGCACCCTTACTCTTCGATGGCTCGCTTCAGTATGTTATGTTATAGAACTCACTGGTGAGAGTACATGAACTTAAACATGACGCTGCCATCAAACATAACAGTCGATAGTCTAGATATAGAAGTCTGTGTGTAAAAGCATAGAAATATATGCATGATTATAAACTGCAGGTTTCATCTATGATTGCGTATATGTATTGCGTGTACTTAATCTCCGATTCCCCTCCTTGATAACAGTGACTTCTCACGTAATATCATGATATAATCGATTTCATTCGAGCAGTGATGATCATGCCCTCGATAGCATAATCTCGTGCGTTGAAATGAACAAATTATCATTATATACAGATCTAAATTAGGAAATATCATTTTATTTTAAGTAAAAATAAAATTATATTTAATAAAATAATTAAAAGCGAAATCGCTTTTACTTATTTTCTTACAATTTTCTTATAATTTATTAACTAAGACTTTTACAAATTTCAAACAAAACTATGACAATTTCACATATAAAATTCATAATCATTTACAAAAAAAAATTAGGACATACTGAAGTTTTGTAATTAAAATATTTTAAATGTCATTAATGTGAAATAATAAAAAGTAATAAAGGCTGTGGGAATCAACGCAGTTATTAGTGCGATTATCTTATATTTATTTAATTAATTCCATAAACCTTGGTGTGATTTCGATAAACACAATACAATAGAATTGATGTTTCGATTCCTCTTTGAGTTATCCAGAATGAATTATCCATTATTACAAATTCTTGTTCCGCAAATCAAATTCTTCATATAATGTGTAGGTTTCCCAACAGTTAATAGACTATTGAAATCACAACTGAAACTGAATACGAATTGGAGGAACACACACAATACATTGGCAATTATAATTATTTTTTTTTAAATATTCCTCCTACATTCATTCATAAAGCGCCAAACTCCATTACACAAATAAAAATACATAGATAACAAAAATTTTTTCGTAGCAGAAAATCATACTAATAAATGATGATAAATTTCAAGAATATGCGTGCATTATACGTCTTGACACAACGATTTTTAAGTAAAGATTCATTAATGTGAATCACATTACATTTTTATATTATCTTATTTTATTTCGTCTTTCGTCTTATCTCATTTCATTATATATTTTTTTTATATGTAGGTAAATAAACTGTTATCAATTAATCTTAAGAAAATCACCAATTACTTTATCGCCTACATTGAACAATTCTATCCAATGAATAAAGATTAATTAAATCAGTAATTAAATTATTATAACTTATTTATATTTATTTTAACAAGTTATTTTTATTACAAATATAAAATAAGAAAACATAGAAAACAGTTAAAGAAGTAAATGTCGCATTGTCTTTAGAAAAAAATCAAGTTTGGAAAAATATGACAGAATTATAATATAATTATAATTCTTATATTATATGTATATGAGAATTATAATATAATTATAATTCTCATATATAATAATTATATATAAAATTATGCACAGTTATATATGAGCAATTTTTTTTATAATTCTCCAAACTTGATTTTTTTCTAAAACAAACAATGTGAAAATTATCCCTTTAACTACTTTTCATTATTATTATTATTATTTTTAATACGCTAGAAACAATAAAAAGTAATTTTACAAAAGAAAGAAGGATATATGTATTTCACATATAATTATATATATACGTTTTTTAATATTTATACATGTTACATTAAGTATGTATGTTTATACATATTTATATATATTCATATAGAATTCGTATAAAAAATATTTTTTATCGAGATATTAAATAATTATAGTTAAATTTTTTTCAATTTACAGTAACGCGTTTTAAAACTGCATGATAATTTTAAATAATTGTAACTTTACGTAAATTTAATCTTAGTATAAATTAATGAAAACATATTGCATCTCACAATTTGTAAAATGTTGCGAAATTACTTTTTATTGCTTCTCCGATTTCATTGCTACCTGCGAACTCAACTTAATTCATGGCATACAAGACAACGTTGAGTCATAAATTATGAAGGTATTATGTCTATTATATTTTTCGGTCCTAGTGAAACTATCTCAAACTTGAATTATCGAAAGCTCTAAAGTTCTGCATGGAGATCAAAAATCGTATTTTTTTTTTAATATCCACCTTTCTAGTTGCTGATGACTTGTTTTTAGGCACAAAGAATCACCTTAATTAAAAATGATATTTTCCATTCATATGTGTTTAATCTCGTCGATCGATTTTCACTTAATATTATCTAAAAAGAAATAGTTCATCAACACTATTAAAATATAATTTCCGGTAGCGAATATATAACGCAGAAAGCGTAATCGACTGATCGCTCGCGGGAAAATTTCTTTCATTACCGACAGCTATAGCGAACCACTGAGTTTTCTTTCATTATAAGTTTAATGCTGTTATATGAAAATGGAATGGAAATTCTACGGAACAAAGAATCTGCAGAATGTCATTATGTGTTCCTCGCAGAAGATTTTAAATAAATATTAATCAAAGTTAGAGAATATTATATAATATTAAGAATTTTTTAACTGTCGTACAGAATACTAATGCATTTTTATACTCTCGAATACTTTAGAAAACAAGAGTAATAAATCTCTCATACAGACAACTAAAGAAAAATGTTAATCCAATATTATACGATTTTACGAAAGAAATATGTATATCAATCTCTGTCATTCTTCCACTCAATAAATTACATTTTATTCTTGTGTCATTCATTAAATATGTATGAAGGACAACATACAAAATAAAATAAAAGATAAATAAAACTCTCTTCAAGAAATTTTATAAAATCGATCAATGCGTATCAATTTATGTAATCTGCATTTATATTACAGTAATATGCATAAAATAAAACCTATGAATGTATAATGTACAAATTTTATAAAATTAAACGTACGTTTTTGTATTGAAAAACATTTATATATTATACTTTAGAATATATATAATTCTTCTCACGGCATAAACGAATACCATGCTTGTCAAATTCACGACCGTGCTCGTTCTCGATCGCCCTAGTTGTCGTTGAGGCTCTATGTGCACTTAATCGATACGGTACTCGCATATAATTAAGAAACGATTACAGATACCGCGCGCACGGTAACGCGATGCTACAAGAGAACTCAAGAGCGTACGTTGTTCGTGTCATTTCCCCAATCAATATCGCGTTTTCACACGGGTTAGATTTTCACGATAAATTTCTTTCGCGTAAATTATTGAGCAACTGAACGGAGGATATTCCGGAGGATATTGTGACCCGATAATGATGATACACCAACGTTGAACAAAATAATGGTGTTATCCAACAAAATTTAGCGACCGAACACAAATCATTATGCGTTTCTGTTTCGACATATAATACATCAGCGATAATTGAAATCGGCGTAATTCTGGTAAAAATTGATGGTTTCAATGCTATATATATATATAGATGTAAATATGAGCTGTATTTATTCGTAACAACGTAAACATGAGTTTTCCCGTAAAATATACCTTATTCATATATCTATAACATCACAGTTTCATATTTATCGACGGTTTCCAGCCAATTTTCAAGCAAGTTTAATTACAAAAAGTATTTAATTGCCAATCTACATTTTTCAATAGCCAAAATATATAAAATTTCATTTATATATAACATTTCCTGATAATTCAAGATAAATTTTATTAATATAATTTGGAATTTCATAGCTCGGATTTCCCACAAACGCTCACTAAAAATTAATATAATTTTAACATTTCATTGCAAATTTTTTGCAGGTATATTCAGGATTGTATGTACATATTTAGATGCTATCACAACGTAATTTTCACACGATCGAGCAGCGTTCTCATTTCGATTTGTGATGTGATAAGACTGAATTTCAGACCGGATTAGCTGTCCCAGTTCAGCGATTCGCTTATTCTTTCTTGGATTGCATAGTGCTACATTAAAAAAAATATTTGTGTGAAATTATATGATTATGCTAGATTTTTTTCTGACTTAGCAAAATCGTGTAATATTGCAGCACATGAAAAATAACAGATTATATAATTTCACATGCAATATATATTTTCGGGATTCCATTGAACGTGGAATTTTACATATAAAATAATAGACTTAATAAATATAATACCAAATTAGAATGTTATTTCATTTGTACGTTTTTATTGTACAAATTTTTCAAGCCTGTTGATTGGCTGTAAGATAAAGAGATCCGAAGGAGAGCCTTTCTTCTATCCTGCACACATTTGTCATATGACAAAAACGCACAAATAACCTATATAACTGTATTGTAAGTACAGTAATTACTGAAAAGAATTATTTATTATATATTAGAAAACGGAGAGATATGCATAATTTTTGCACGATAAATATTTTGATATAATAAAAGTTGTAGTGTCCGTTGAGTACAACGTGTATGATATTATTTTACAAAATTATTTTACAAATTATACAAGTTATTTCGATTTAAAGTGTGACGGGCGACTACTACCTTTTCAGTTTCGACCCTGCGATGATACTAACTTCCGACTCTCCATACTAACAATTGACATGATCAGATAAAAACATGTTATATGTCAATCATCAATGCGAGAATCGGAAGTCGACATCGCAGGGCCGAAACTGAAAAGGTATAGTAGTTGCCCGCTAAACTTTAAACCAAAATAACTTGCTTAATTTGTAAAATAATTTTGTTATATCGTTGTAACGATATTACTCGTTAAAACAGATGCTACAACTTTTATTATATATCGAAATATTTACTTTATCGTACAAAAGTTATACACATCCCTTGATTCTCCAACATAAACAATTTTTTACAGTAATTACTGCGCTTACAATAAAGTTTAGTTAGAGCCATTTAATTTGATATTATATTTATTAGATCTATTTCTGTTAATTTACGAGATAAAAAGGGATAATCATTTATACGATAACCTCCTGTATAGGTCATATACATACAACGTTTGATGATATCGTGGATCAATCGATAAAGCCCATAATTTTCTCCAATAGCACCGATTTTTAAACAACACAAATAATTCACTACATTCTTTCGAACGTATAGAACACATAGTAAAGACGTGAAGTGATTTGAAGCGATTAACACTCGCTATGTAAACTGTAAGCTTATAGTAGGGGTAACCTTCACGAGCGAAATTACCGAAAGAATAAATGCTGTCGAGTCAAGTAAGAATGAATTGTTATTTGAAAATTTGATAGGTGCAACCAATAATATATTGATTAACAGAAACCTTGATAATAAACATAAAAGATCATTAAACACATTCTAGAACAAATTAATGACGTGACACGCAAATCACAATTGTAATAAAGTTCGTCATCATTTTCGAGAAAGAATTATCTCATACTCTGCGCGGAAAAATTTCTCGCGATATGTATATTCATCACATCTCTTCATAAAGGAATCTCGGTTATTTATAGAAGAGGCTCGAATTTTTTACATTTCTTACGCAGAATAGCGACGAAACGTCGCCGATGATTTGTAATAACAGCCGTGCAATGCAGATATAAATTTTTTACATTAAAATACAATTCGTATTTTACGTTGAAATATTATTCGGAAATTATTTATAATTACTAAAAAATGAGAAAAAGATAAATACACACTGAGAGAAAAAAATGGTTGCAAGTATCACAATTTAATTATATTTTATAGTCATTTTTAGAGGCAACTATAAATTTATAATTGTTTTAACCATACACATTATAGATGTTTCAACATTAAATTATGATCTTCACAACTATAATATGCATTCGTGTAATCATTTACTGCACAGTTATCTTACATATAAACAGGACTTGCATATTGTACTATAAAATGTTGTGATCAAACATTATATTCAAAGTAGTACAAGGACCTACATATAGTGATTTATGGTTTACTATAATAAACTGTAGTTATATTAATGATATTCTACCCTTTAAGTATAATCACATCTACACTCAAAAAAAAGTCATATCAGCAATTAGAAATTTGAAGACGAATAGCGCCTCAACTATGTATTATTTATAAAAATAATAAATAAATCATATAAACTAAAAATCAAACAAATGAATCAAGAGCATAAATGCTGGATATTCTGTGCGTAAAGAAATTTATACCTCTTATTCTACATTAATAACAAACGGTATAATTAGGTCATCTTCAGTATTACAAAAAGGAGTTACATATATATGATGTTATATTGCCGAAGTTTTTCTAATTACATTAATCTTACATTGATGCTATTTGCATACCCCGCTCAGTGGTCAAATTGTTTCTCAGAGGATCGACTGTGAGAGCATATAAAATGCGAGCGGTATTAATGTAAAATTAATATAGTTAGAAAAACTTCGGCAATATAACATCATATATACGTAACCCCGTTTAATTTTGTAATATTGAAGATGACCTAATTACAAGATCGAAACGTTTATTATTAATGTAGAAAAGAGATATAAATTTGTTTACGCACAGAATATCAGTTTTTATGCTCCTGATTCATTTGATTCTATCATAAATTTTTAGTATGAACTAAGAAAATATAGTATAATATTAACCATTTATTAGAAATGATTAATATTATTATATTTTCTTAATTTATGTCAGATTTCTATACGTATAAATAACTGTATAGATAATCAGGAATAAAGTTTCTGAATTTTTGTACAGAACCGAAAACTGTACTAAGATATATATCTCTCATTTATTTTTGTCGCCGAAATTTGAACTCAAATTGCTGCGCCTTTCATTGTATGCCAATTGGTTTTCTTCTTAGGAGAAATTGAACTCCGTTGTGTTGCGTCCCTCTGGTGGGAGAGCTGTGTACTGCTCGTGGATGACCGACTTTAGTAAATTTTTACAATATAAATAGTAAATTTTTAGTTAAAAATATAATCAAATGTAACACTTAATCATATAATAATAATATCACACCGTTTAAAAATATGTGTTTTTTTAGCTTTTCTTTACCATTATCCGCCTAGTTATTATTATCATATAAACAATTAACGAATGTCAATAAAATTATATTCACTATAATTACGATTGTATTTATGATATAAAAATATAAAAAATCGTATCTTAATATTTTACTACATTAATAGTTGAAATTATCATAATTTATAGTACAATTTTTCCATATTTGAAAGAATTATATATGTAAAGTTATTATTACTAACATTATAACAATAATAAAAATGAACCTTCTAACCACGATTTTTTAATGATGCAATTATAATCACAAATATCAAATTCAAATCAATCTGAATTTGAAAAATATGTTTAGAAATGTTGATATTCGTTATTTTTCTATTTGATTCATTTCATCGCACTTCCATGATGTATTACATTATAATTACTTGGTATTACACATAATTCCTTTTAAATTAAATAAATCCTATAAACACATATTTGTATGTCAAGCATCTTCTATAAAGAACCAAATAATGTAAAAAAAAGCATCATAATTGTTACTTGTAAAAAATCTCAAACTGCAACGCACATTGTGTTCCTATTATATTCAATTGTAAAAGAAGCTACTTCTAAATATCGAAATATAGATCTGATCTATATCGATTTTGGATAGTACTTTTAAGAGAAAAATTCAAACAATTAATATTATTAATACGGTGACAATACAATATTATTAATACGATAACAATAGCCAATGACAGAATCAAGGGAATCCTCTAAATAACGTCACATCGTGTCGGTCTGACTTTACGCCCACACCTACGTGTTTTTCACCGAATACCGATTAATGAGTCATCAGCTAGCATGATATTCGATGCGTATCATACATCCTCAATTTGGAAAATTAAACGTATTATAACTGAGAATACATAACAAAAAGAAAATCGGTCAAATAATTTCCGCTCTCTCGTTACTTATCATTATTACAATACCACGTAATAAACTATACCAAATAAAACTGTTAGCAAACAATTAAAAAATTCTACTGTTTCTTCAGAGGTATAATATTTATACTGTATGTGGATATATTTGTCTAGATATAACTTGTAAAAGTCTTAAAAAAAATTGTATAGTGATAATGAAAAGAACATTGTGGACAATATTTTAAATGTTTAAATATACGTATATAACATGGAAAACAATTCGACAAAAACAATTTCTTCAAGATTTCCAAAGGATATCAGACATTTTACATGTCACTATCCATTTTCGTTCATTCATCAGTGATGTTAATGATATTGCATGAATATCTTTATCCGATATCGGTGGATTCCTATTTTGATTCAATCGATATGCTTTCATGAAAAACACGAAGGAGTGAATAGCGTATTCGTCACGTCATCAACGATATCATTGACAAGTTGACATAACAATGATAGCGTTATCAATTAAAGCGTGAATCTTGGCGAATTTCGAAGCCGGCTCCACACAATGCGCTCGAATATTTGACAAGTGCAATCGCGCCGCATTTATGTGACGAATTTCGCTGCATTGTACTACGGCACCGTGCATAGTCACGATTAATCTTTTCATACAGCGCGACATTCGTTTCAGCTCGGAATATTCGTTGCGTTAATCTATTGAAGCTGACAAATAACAGACACGAATTTTTCGTCCACAAGTAATTTTTTCATTTCTGTTCTACGACATGGTATGATAAATAATTGTCGAAAGTATCCCGATACAAGAAAGTTTCCTCATTTCGGAGCACGTTACATTGGAATAATGTAGTTTTCGTTGGGAAACCTCTTCGATATAGGCATGCGATTAATGGAGATTTAGACCGACCGTCGACTCAATGAATACAACTTCCGACACTACAAACATATACGAGCCTCTTGAAAGTGAAACTCTATGAAACAAGGTGTGCTGATAAAGCTGATCACTCGCTCTATTTTAATGAAATGTCGACATTGACAAAAAGTGAATCCAGTTAACTTCCGGAAGTTGGTGCATCCCATACCGATCGTGGCGTGAATGAACGTAGATGTCATCCTGCCAAACAACATCGGGCGCGATCTTCGTCGAGGCAGACACCGATCTCACGATACGGCAATAAGAATATATTCTCCATTCATCGGTGTGTCGTCAATAAACGGCAAGGTCGGCCATAGTCGCCATGGATCCACCGGTTTGGTGGTCCGCGACGACAACGAACACCAGCACCGCGATATAATGACCGATAGTCATTCCGAGTGCAAACACCTGTCAGCTCGGATCGTCGAGGTGGGCCGAGGCGTGGGCGAGCGGATGAACGTCTGTCATCCACCAGTTGTGCCTCCTCGGCGATTCTTGGCGACTGCTTGGACTCGCGACGAATCCGTGTTGCTGAGTAGTGACATTATCTTTACGGTCGAGTCGTAGGGCGTGAGTCACGCGTGAATGACGACAACGTCGACGACGACGACGACGACGACCACGACGACGACGACGACGACGACGACGACGACGACCACGACAAGACGACGATGACGACAACGACGACGACAACGACAACGACAACGACAACGACGAAGACGACGACGACAACG